TAAATTGTTGAGATTCAGTATGAAAAGGGTCCAAAACAAATACCCATTTTTTGAGAAAAATAGAAATTCTTTCACTTAAAAGGCCTATTTATATGTATATGCAGGATTTCTTACAATTTACATAAGTGCTTTTGAAAATGTTTACCAAAAAAGCACTTTTATATATAAGTGTTTTGATTCGAAGTAGGAATTTTTTAATAGAAATCATTTTAAAGAAAAGTTTGATGTTAAAAAGTTCAGAAGTACTTTTAAAATTTGTTGTACAACTTTCTTAAAAGCAATCAATTAGTACTACGGTCTAGTAATATTCATTTTTACTTGTAAGTGAGAGGTCTTAGGTTCGATTCTCGCCAAATGTGAATTTGAACTACATTGTTGCTAGCCCATTGTGAAACTAAGTCCATTCCCTGCCCCTTAATGTAAATAATATTATTTGTTAAAAAAAAATTCCTAAATTTTCTTTTTTATTATCTGAAAGTGTTTTTAACCTTTCATACTTGTGTAAATCATGGATTAGAAAACAAACAAGAAAGAGCACCAAGATTATTATACAAAATTGCTTAGTTATGAATGTCATATGATCCATATCCATTATACACTAGCTAGGCTAGGGCTGGGTTTGGTTCAAAACGGTTCGGTTCGGTTCATTTCTTTTCGGTTCGGTTTTTTTCGGTTTCGGTTTTTTCCGGTTCGGTTTTGGTTTTTTTCGGTTTTTTATTTTTATTTTTAAATGATGTAAATGGAAGGAACCTACCCATCAACTTCCCAGTTCTCATATATCAGAGAATTAAGAGCCTCAAAATCCTGAATATATTCAAGTAATTCAACTACTTGTGATCAAGCAGAACGAATTCAAATTTTCAAAAGTTAAGCAAATACATAAACATATATTCTTCAAGGAAATGTACATCGCCAGGATTCAAAATTCAAAAACTTTAAAATTTACAAAATCATGAAGTAACTCAACAAATTAACTGATCGATGCAAATCGAAAAAAAAAAAAAAAAGCAATAGGGTTCTTCTAAATACCATAATCGGACTTCAATAGTGCATGCCTAGTGCCCACATTCAAATTCATAGTCAAGTCCACAATAAATCTAGAAAATTCCAAAACATATTCAGAGAAAAATACAAACTTTTTCACCTTAAATTACATAAATTTCAAATGGGTAACCATACAATTAAAAACCTATGAACTGACAAATAAATAAAACCACAACCTTTGTTGCAGCGATATCGCCATGATCGTCACAAGCTCTTTCAATTCCTCTTTTCGTCGGATCTCGAAAAGGGCGAGGGAAAATCATGGTTTGGAAGAAGGAATCTGCGAGGAGGACAGGAAAAGACTGGAGAGAGAGTGATTTGGAGGAAGAGAGGAAGGAGAGGGAGAGGGAGAGGGAGAGAGAGAGAGAGAGAGAGAGAGAGAGAGAGAGGAAGCAAAGGCAAAGAGGAAGCAGCGGACGGAACAGAGAGGTGTTTGAGATCTGAAATGAAATAGGAGTGAGACGGCTAGGGTTTGTAAAGTTAAGAAATTTTATAAAGCATTAAACATAAGAAACCTATAAATAAATTACTGGTACAATTATAATAACACAGCCTACAGTCAAGTTGGCTTGCAACAACCAACCCCAACCCGCAGGGAAAGGGTTCAAACCCTGACGGCAACATGTATTTTTTAGTATTTATATATGATTTTTTTTTCGGTTCGGTTCAGTCCGGTTCAGTTTCCAAACCTCAAAAACCGAAACCAAACCAGCCAAATTCGGTTCGGTTCGGTTTGGTAGTTTCGGTTCGGTTTTTTTCGGCCTCGGTTCGATTTGGTTTTCGGTTTTTTTTCGGTTTTCGGTTTTTTGAACCCACCCCTAAGCTAGGCCACGTTGCTTTGCTTAGTCATTAATAGGCCAAAAGAAGGGGAAATTGGCTGAATGGAAGTATTGACCAAGGAAATTGGAATTCGCAGAGAAGGTGCGAATTTCAGGTTGTGTGACTGGTGTTGGGTACCGAGAACAGCCGATGGAACGACGGATTTTGTGGCGTTGCATGTGGGAGCGGAGATGTACGACTTAGTTTGGGTTCAACAACCTCCATCTTCATTTGTTCGCATTCTAAACAAGGACGGCATGTTGTTGGCCCGTGGTGGCCTTTTGTACTCCTTTTGGCTTCGGCCTTGGTGAATGACATTTTCTAGTTCTTTTTCAGAAAAAAAAAAAAAAAATTGGAATGGGGAAATTGCAAATTTACAATGCAACCTTGTCATTGAGTCTTGAGTTTGAGAACAATTTATATGGAATGTTTACATTATCACGTGGAATTCTGTGACAAAAGTTTATACCTATTTTTAAAATTTTGTTGTCAGCGTTCTAAAATTTTATTGTATATTCTAAATTTTTTATATGTAGAAATAAAAATATTTTTGTAAGAAATGTACAATAAAAATTTTAAAGTGCCAAAAATAAGATGAATCATGAACCCATTATCAAATCAATGCTATTGATCATTTGTTAATAATTGCAGAGGTGTGCTATCCATACATCTTTTTTTACTATTCACACACTCCTTGTTAAATTATGTCATTTGATCTTCTTAAATTCATTTGATCGAATAGTCAAAAATTAAAAGAGTGTGTAAGAAATAAAAAGAGGTATGTAAATATCACGTTTCTAATTATATCTTGGAATTAGAGTGTGGGTCTATATTCCATTTCTATCATTAAAAACTACAATAATAGTATGTGTACTATGTTGTTTTACAATAGGCAAATCAAAATCAAAGAATTGAAGGATGAAGAATTAAATTAGAATAGTGATGCCCACACGTCAATTTTTACTTTTTACACATCTTTCTTAATTTTTGACTATCGGATTAAATGAATTAAAGAAGATCAATGGTAAAAGATTAACAAAAGTGTGTACAAAATAAAATGGGTGTGTGAATAGCACTATCTTTAAATTAATTCAAAAGTTTTTTTTAGGGTCACGATTTTTTTAGAGTAATGTTAGGGAGGTTAAACTGTCACATCCCGGCCCGGGCGCCCACCACATCCCGGGCTCGACTCCACCGTAGCACGATATTGTCTACTTTGGGCTCTGACCACACCCTCACGGTTTTGTTTCTAGGAACTCACACAAAAACTTCCCAGTGGGTCACCTATCCTAGGAATGCTCTCGCCCCTTTCTCGCTTAACTTCGGAGTTTTGATGGAACTCGAAGCCAGTGAGCTCCCAAAAGGCCTCGTGCTAAGTAGAGATGGGAATATACATATAAGGCTTACAGGATCCACTCCCCGGGCAATGTGGGATGTTACAATCCACCCCCCTTAGGGGCCTGACGTCCTCGTCGGCACACATGCGCCTAGGGTTAGGCTCTGATACCAAATTGTCACATCTCGGCCTGGGCCCCCACCACATCCCAGGCTCGACTCCACCGTAGCACGATATCGTCCGCTTTAAGCCCTGACCACGCCCTCACGGTTTTGTTTCTGGGAACTCACACAAGAACTTCTCAGTAGGTCACCTATCTTGGGAATGCTCTCGCCCCTTTCTCGCTTAACTTCGGAGTTTCGATGGAACCCGAAGCCAGTGAGCTCCCAAAAGGTCTCATGCTAGGTAGAGATGGGAATATACATATAAGGCTTACAGGATCCACTCCCCGGGCAATGTGGGATGTTACATAAACTTTGCAAACTAAATTATGTGTCACCAATAATAAATAAGCATGTTAATCAACACTTAAATAATAATTCAATCATCAACTTCCATGTCATTTAATTTAACATTATATATTTTTTTTAAATAATGATTTTACACTAAGCATCAGTTGCAGATCCAGAAATAATTATTCGAAGAGTCATATGTAAAAGTTCACAAATGTTTCTTAGACATATAATAACCTTAAAAGTTAAACCATAGTTCCATTATTCATAAATTATAAGACAAATAACAGTACAAGTTATAATTGTCCATGACGCATTTTTTTGTTTTGAAAATGCTGCATTATAGCTTTATTACCAATGGAAGAAAAAACATTGCACTCTATATAAACCGTCATGCTATCACCAACCATTGATCTCTCATTCAATTAGGTAATGTACTTTCACCATACTCATAACGAAAAAAGCTGTCACCAAGTAATAGTAACTGGTAGAACCAAAGTCTAAAATTCTAAAACACACATATCACTATATGATTCACATCAATAATCAAATCTAATTATCCATAAAAGAAACAACTTTCAACCAATTCATTAAAACAATTAGAAATTTGTTTTTAAATAAGTTATGAAGACTTACTCTGAAATTTAGGCGGTTGTCAGAATCCTTAGGCTCTGTTTGGCAGATCAGATAAAGGATCAGATAGGATTAGTTATATGGACCCGGGTGTTTGGCGTTCACTTGTACTAAATAAGCGGCGAATTAATTTAACCGGTCTGCTTATTTAACACGGTATAAGCCTGCTTAATAAAAGCAACCAAAACGCTCGGATTATTGAGTCGGTTTCACTCTCCTCTCTCGCGAACTCGGCCCTCTCTCTCTCGCCTTCTCTCGGCATCGTCGTCCTCCCCGTCACCTTCTCTCGACATCTTCGTCCTCCTCGTCGCTTTCTGTCGGCATTGTCGTCCTCCCCGTCACCTTCTCTAGCCATCGCCGTCCTCCCTGTCACCTTCTGTCGCGCCACTTTCTCTCGCCATCTCTGCTTTCCTAGTCCTCGTCGCCTTCCTTGTCGTCCTCTCCTTGTGGCCTTCCTCATCACCTGCTCGCCGTCCTCCCCTACAACTAGGTCTTGCAAAGAAACATGGTGTGGCGGAGAGATGATTTCAATTTGGGATTTTTCTGCAACTGGCTATTTGAATTTATTTGAGATTCTTCTGCAGTCGGGGAAGAAGAATATGGGAGAGAAAGGGAGGGAGTTTGGGGGGTGCGGCAGAGAAAGCTGGGGAACAATTATTTGGGATTCTTTTGCAGTCGGGGAAGAAGAAGAAGGGAGAGAAAGGGAGGGTGTTTGGGGGGTGCGGAGAGATCTGGGAACAAAAAAATGATTTCACTTTTTTTTTTAATTTTATTTTTTAAGTTTGATTCCTGCTATCCAGTATAATATCAAACACGGTATAAATAATACTGTCATTAGTCTGATACTGCACCAAACGTCCGACTAATTTAGTCAGTACTATCCGATGGCTATTTATCTTATCCGACAGAAATAGTCAGTACAGTCCGAACCGCCAAACTAGGCCTTAGTGGAGTGGGGTAGTAGGAGTTTGGGTGTTAGGAATTGAGTTTGGTGGGATTGAGATTTGAGAGTAGAAATTGAAATTTTGAAATTGCGTTTCTTTGGGGACTTGGTTTGCTTGCTGCGGCCTACAGTCTTTTTATTTTTTTCATGTTCTAGTGTATCTTTTTTTCTGGCTATCTTACCTTTCGTTTGAGCTGTTTTTTTTTTTTTTTTTTTTTTTTTGGGTATAAAATAACATGACTTAAAAAGACGCCATTTTGGTTAGGTAATATTTAAATAATAATAATAATAAGGACAACTCTTTTTTGAAGCATTTTATCAAACAGTAAGAGGGCACGTATGAAGGCAAACTCCAACTTTCATAGGGGTAGCACCCAAGTTATCTATGGAGATTCACCGGAGTTTGAAAAGTCAGCTAACCCTCAACTAAACTATGTTTCTGAGTTATTTCGAATTTCAATACAAGATTTGTCTTTCTAGCATTTTCAGTAAACCGATATTTATATTATATTTAGGATAATACTAAGAAGATCAAATTTCTAAATCAACTTTTATAAACCAAATAATGTGGATGTCGATGATTAAATTATTACTTAATTTTAATTAACGTGCTCATTTCATATTGGTAACATAATTATAAATTTGATGAAAAAATTTGATCTCTCAAACATTATCCTTATATTTAAATATAAAATAATACGAATATTTTACCTTCCTTCAGCATTTACCGGCAAACTCCCTCTCCTTCTCTCTCTGCAAACGCCAATGGCGAACACTGAGAGACCCGGGTTGCAAATCCGTGACCTACTATTTCGTATACATTATTCCGCCTACAGCTTTACGGTATTATTCTCACCCTCTAACTTTCATCTTTCTTTGTTTGTTTCCAAAGAAAATAAGAAGGAAAATTTCACTCAACACCAATCTGTGCTACTTCTGTGAATAATTCAGATCTTCAGCTTAGCTAGTTGCTTCGATCGCCACTGTCAACCTTACCGCCTTTCCTTCACCCACGATGACGTCGTTCGACTCGCCGCCACTTCTCCATGTTTGTACATGAGCTTTTTTTATAGTATATAACTTTTCAGAAATTACATATTTTTTTAATTAATTTAATTATTAATAGATTGGATAATGTTTCTTGCTGTTTCTCTCTCCCAATTAGTGTGAATGAGGTGGAAGCATTGCGCGGACAGTTTAAGTTGAGTAGTTCCATTCTCAACGACGGATTACTTCACAAGGTTCATCAATTTATGCACGTGTTGAATAATTTTTTTAGTTTTAATTTTTTAATTTCTTTGACATGGGTCATGGAAAGTATATCTTTTTCTTTGAGTTTTTCATTTACTAGCTGATATTTTATCTGTTGTTCAATGTCCATGAGGAGCTGAGGTTGGCGCGTTTCAAAACTCCAGCTGGTGAAAATCTTTTTTCTGGATAGAGTAAGCTCACTTACGATATCCTAATTTAAATTATTCCTTACTGTGGGAAGGGAGATTGGATGTCGGATGCATAGGGAAGCACATGTGACGATCCGTCCCTAATTTTTCATATAATTTCCTTCCCGAGTGTGTAAAATGATGTTTATGTCCTTATTGGCAAAATGAAACCTAACGTGGACGTAGTTATTCAGCTTTTAATTTATTTTTCCTTTTGTCGTAATTAAATAGTACTCATTGTTATGAATGCGTGAGCGCGAGTTAGACCTGAATCAGATTTGTAACGAAAAAGTTACGCTTAGTTGAAGTACGTTAACAACGGGTAGAATTGTACATGTTTGTGCTAATAATTTAGTGTTAAGGTGAGCCGGATTGTGTACTTTTATATATTATATATAAAGTATTATAGTTTACATAAGTGCTTTTGGATTGATTTTATGCCTATCATCCCTTGTTTTATTTAATTTTAAAAATGCCATTATATTGTTGGGATTATATGTTGTCATGGCTTGTTCATATACAATATACTTGCTCGTCATGCATGCTTGCACCGGTGTAGTACTGCCAGGGTCAGCTTCACGTGTATGTTCACATTGCAGCACACGCTCACCTTGGATTCATTGTAGGTGCCAGTCATGTCCTAGGTTGCAATAAGCAACTAGGACTTGTATGTGATGCACCTAGTGTCAATCTTCACGTGATTGTAGTACTAGAGCGCATATTATGATTATACCCAGTCCTATTCATGTCAGATTCCCTCTACATGAACTCATGTGCTAGCATAGATTGATAAGCACCTGATTTTCTTATGCTACGGTTGAGATATTATGATTGGCATATTTATGGAATTATTGTTGATTTACATTTGATTTCATACTTATATGTAGTATTATTTTTCTGGAAACTATACATGTTTTACGGTGAAGGGTTATTATATTCAGAAAATAAATGTGTTTTATAAACCTTTGTTTTTGCCCACTCACCCTTCTGTTTTTCGCCCCTCCACGACTTAGTTAGCTGAATTTTCTGTGGCGTACGAGGGATCTCTGGCGGTTCTGACATTTCCATAAATAAATGTAGGAGCTTATTTCCAGTTGTGTAATAAGTACCTTAACTAGATTCGACTGTTCTATTTTTGTCTTACTGTCATCTACACTCTGAACACTTGTGTTTTATGGGTTTTTCCCACTACTAGTGCACTCTCTGCATTAGTTTAAATAAATGTTAGCTTTGGTTTAAATTTGTCCATATTTTTATGCATCACTTTCCTTTTTGGTTACGTCATCTCCGGGTGTCGGCCAACATACCTCGACTCCGGTCGGGGTGTGTCAGCACATCTGCTCTAATTTCTTTTTACATTATTCTCCAATCCATTTCTTCTCCTAAACATGTTCTACTTATGTTATTGACACACCAGGGACATCACAACGGTTTTTTCAAGTTTTATTTTCAACACTAGAGTTAAAGACTGAAAATGTTGGTAATGCTCTGCTACCCTAAGGTGGAAAATCAGAATCAAAAGATGTGTTGCGTTTTAGGATTGCTTTGACCAACAAAATGAAGCTGTGTTGATATGCTTTTTACTGCCTTGAAGGTTCCCCTACTTCAACTGGCACAAGCACTTCTGGGATTGACCTACTAAAATCCAGCCACAACCTCATCCACAACTTTGTCCTCCAGTGGCAACATACTATGAGAAGATTGTATCACCATCGATGGCAGCATGAGAAAATCGTATCACCGTCATTGAAACTTCGGTGAAATAAATGTCACCAACAAATTAAATGTTGACTAGCTAAGACCATTTCTAAAGGAGATGTCAAATTCTAAGTAGAATGCCATGTAGTCAAATTTGAAAGTAGAAATAAGCTTCAACCGATATATCAACCCTATGTAAATTAACATATGAGAAAATGTGATGTCACTTAATTTTTTATTTTTTTTTTGGGTTGAATCAAAGACGATATCATTAAACTGAGAAAGCTTACACTGATTCTTAGATGAGAAGGGCTTAAATAACAGTTGGAGGCTCCTCAATCCAAGCTAGTTTTGAACTGCTAGACAATGCTACCTTTGGCAAACAATAGGCAATCCCATTATTATTCCTAGAAACAAAAAATAAAATTTGAAGTAATAAATATACCTGGACTATGAAGTATATCCCCCGTTAACAAATCCATTGTGGAAGCACGATCCACACAAGTGTTGATGATGGATATAGCTTGGGATGAGTCACTCTTAATTCGTACCTTTTGGAACCCCAAATGTGATGCCAATTCCACCCCATGAAGGAACGCGTGCATCTCTGCATGAAATGCCGACGAGATTGTAGGCAAAAACCATGTCCCTGCTGCCACAAAATTCCCTTGTGCATCCTGCAAGACAGCACCTACCGCACCTATATTGGCCTGCAAATTCGTCGCCCCATCCACACTAAGCCGTACCCAACCCTTTTCTAGCACCCATCCCTCCATCCCGTGGTTCATGTTATGCGGACTGTGCAGCCCCCGCTGCTGTGCAGTAGACCTGAGAACTGCAGCTGCCTGAAATTCCTACCGCCACGCCATGGCATGTTGTGCCATCACCCCTGGAGACCCATGTTTTCCTTTTCAAATTTGATCATTCCTTTCCTACCAAAGATGCCACATCACCATACAAGCAAGTCGAAAGCAGGATTTCTGCATTCTAGTGAAATGACATTTTTAGAACATATGCCTCAATCTCGGAACCCATATACAGAAGACACAAACCATATCCGTCGATACTCCCTTTCTTGATAAATTTGACTTTGTCGGAGAATGTTCTGGCAAGTTCTCCACACAAACTTCCTCACTCTTGGCAGGACTTTAGCCTTCCATATAGTTTTCCATAATGGAGAGAAAAGGCTACCACCAATGTCCGAAGAAGAAGCACTCACCGACGGGGGTTACACACAATCCCATACGACCCAATAGGCACTCTTCTTTATGAATATCCACAATCACTATAATATCAAATTGCTAGCAATAATATGGTTCAAATCTTTGGTGAGAATTGAACATAAAACCTCTCACTTACAAGTGAAAAGAAATACCACTAAACCGTAGTACTAAGTGGCCCTACAAATATAATTTAGGGTAAATTACATTTTATCCCCTCAAGTTTCAATGCAATTGCAACCTCATACAACATCTTTAAAACATTTCAATCTCATACATTTATTATTATTTCATTTCATTTTCATACATCTGTTAGAAAATCTGTTAAGTTAATCGTTAAGTGATGACGTGACAAATATAAAATCCTCATTTATGTTGACGTGGCTGCCAAACGTGTGCCACGTAGCCAAACAATTAATAAAAAAATTAAAATTTAATTTGAATATTAAAATATTAAAATAATTAATTAACAAAAAACACAAATCTTCATCTTCCCCATTGATGAGTAAATTTCATATTATATATTTTACCCTATTCTTAGTATACTTTGGTTAATATTTTAGAAGAATTTTGATACTTTGAATTGTATTTCTAATATAGGACTTTCGACTTCTTCAGGAGCAAAACATGACCAAATGGATGAATTTTGGAGTAATTCCAATTGGAGGATGTTCGTGAGTCACTTGGCTTGATCGTATCAAAATATCATATTTTTCTACCAAGCGATGATTTTCTGGCAATAAAATAAAGGAGCAATGCGCAGTGCTGGAATAGTTTGGGCTTAACTTGCGTTTTTGGAGCCCAAGATGACCTCGGATAGGTTCATGACTTTCTGGAGATGTGTTCAGAACGTTCTTATCTTTGAAACAAGCTATTTGGGCCCGATTTGGAGGAGATTTGAGGCTAAAACGTGGCTGAATAGTTTTTGTGCAGCTTTTCCTAGTTTAATTAGGACTTTATTTTCTATTTTATTTTATTATTATTTAGTTTCTTAGTGGGAATAAAATACTTGATTGTTAGGGTTTGTGCGCTGGCTTTAGGGAGATATTAAAAGGCTTTGGCCGGTTCTAGTTATGGGTGGAAGCTTTCTTTTATGCAATTTTGGAGTCAGAGAGTAATTGCTAAGGTTCTTGGAGATTTTCTACTTTAAGGTGTTTTCATTCCTTTTATTCTTAATAATATTTTCTATGATTTCAATTATGAATATGCGCAACTAATTCATTTTTCTAGGGCGTAGCCTTGAGCCTTAGCATGAATATGTAATTTTTATTCAATTGCTTATGATTGTTTGCATGTGCACTTTGAATTACTAATCACCGTGATTAAAACTATCTAATTGTCTTAATGCTTGATCACCATTAGGATCCTTAGAAAAGTAATTTGATGCAGTTTTGGTCGAAAGGTTCCCTGAAATTGACGCTGGCTTCTTGTGATTAATAATTGTAATTTCATTTAAGATGAACACCACGTCTTAAGGGTTGCATGGTTTTTCAAAGGGTTTTCATAAAGCATAATGAGTCTTTCATGTTCAAATTTGATCCGAACGTCCGGACGGGTTGCATGTTAGACATACGTTCTATGTTGGAGGTTCCAAGTAGAATATAGATTAGAAAAACCTAACCTTCAAAGTGGCATGTGTAGATCATAAGTAATTGGATAAAAATACATAGGATTGTTAGGTGATGGTGGAACCCTAGTGCTTTCTTAATTTGATTTTTCCAAAACAGTTTTCTTTCCCTTTCATCTTTAATATTGCAGATTAGTTTATTTTTATTAATTAATTTGTTTTAATTTAAGTAGGTTATAAAACCAATCATCTCAACTTTCTACTGTACAATAATTAATTGGAATTTGGTTTGTTTTGAATTATTTAATAATCCCTGTGGAGAACGACCTTGCAAGAACCATTTTATACTACAACAACCTTGTCATTCTTGCAAGTAATATAGGAGTTTTTAACCCGTTTGCATGTGTGGTAAAATCTCTATCACCCACCCAAACCACCCTTCTCCCATCACCACCCGCATTCCCTATCACTTCTGTACCTCATTCTCTAACCAAAAATCCCAAATTCCTAATTTCTGCATCTAATTTGATTCGAATTCCCCATTGGCGATTAAACCCTAGATCCCAAATCCAAGTAATTCAATTGGATAATGGGTCTCAGAGAAACCTTCAGGCCCTATTCGTCTTTAAAGATGCCTGGAGCCCAAGTCGAGCTCCTCCTCGATCTCCAAAACTCCATCGTCCATGGGCGCAGTGTCAGGGTTGATGGCTAGGTCAGGCTTAAAATGGTCAGGTTCGAAGATTGGGGCCAAGAGCCCAAGTCGAGCTATTCCTCGGATTGTGTGGCAACGGAGTCGTTGAAATCATCCCAATCGAGCGAGTCATTTGAAGCTGAGTTGGTGCAGCGGCGAGTCGTTTGGTGAGGTAGGGGTGTTTAGGTGGTCGTGTGTGAGAACAACAACTAAGGGACGGGTAAAGAGTGAGCGAGAGCTGCTGGCTGACATAAAAGACGAAGGTGAAGGGCACCACTTGGAAAAAGAAATCGAGGCAAAAGTTTGAGGTGGTGATGAAGGTGGAGGAAAAATTAGGGGTCACTGGGTTGCTCGGGGCTTTACAGATGAGGAAATTGATGGTGGTGGTGCTGTAGGGAGAAGCTTGGTGCGGAAGTGATGGCGGAATGGGTAGTGATGGGGGAATAGGTGGTGATGGGGGATTGTGGTGGTGCTGGAGGGAGAAGCTTGGTGCAAAAGTGATGGGAGAAGGGGGTGGTGATAGGGAACAGGGTTGGTGAAGGGAGAAGGGGTGGGAAGATAAAGAATTTGTTTTTTTTTTTAGTTAATTATTTTAATATGTTAATATTTAAATTAGATTTTAATTTTTTTATTAATTGTTTATGCCACATGGCACACGTTTGGCAACCACATCAGCATAAATGAGGACCTCATATTTGCCACGTCATCACTTAACAGTTAACTTAACATATTTTCTAACGGATGTATAAAATTGAAATGAAATAATAATAAATGTATGAGATTGAAATGTTTTAAAGATGTTGTATGAGGTTGCAGTTGTACCAAAACCTGAGGGGGTAAAATGTAATTTACCCTATCATTTATAACAAAAGAACATATAGGTTGGAGGAAGAAAAAATCTGACATTGCCACGTCAGCCATGAAATTAACATTTGACATTTATCTTTGGAAAATTGACATTAATGGACCATTTTCTTAATTTTGGGACCAAAATAGGAGTTTTAGGATATGAACAGAACATGCACACAACATGCATAAGTATATGACAAAAATAGGATTTTATTAAAACTTGAAATGACCAAGTTGCCCTCCCATATGAATGGGTTATTTCGTCCAACCTAGTCAACATATACTCCTTGTCCGAAAATCTCTCTCGCCCAACCCCAGCTGGAAGAACCGTAGCCCCAAACAACGTGACCCAAATGCTCTTCAACTTTTCGACTGATGCTAAGTTTCCAATCTTTTCTATAAGTTTTGTGGCCAAAGCGAGTTTGGTATCCATCGATTCAAACAATTGTAATGGCAAAAAAAAAAAAAAAAAAAAAAAAAAAAAAGAGAGGTATTTTTTTAATTGAATTTTCATTACTTGAACTTAGCTTTTCCCAATTTGGGAATTTAGGGTTTGGGTGCGATTGACTGTTTTTTGCACTTATTTTGGGGGAAATTAACTGATTAAGCTTTAGGGTTGTGTAATTGCATGCATTTTGAAGTTAATTTTGTTCATAGTTTGTTCGATCTTCATTTGTGCATACTATGTACATATTTTGTGCATATGCTTTTGATATTGTTGAAAATTAATTGATTAGGTTGTACTTTGGTTATATGGTGTAGATGTGTTTGTACCCAATTTTACACCATCGGTCCGAGCAATTGAGACCTTTGAATAAGCAGAGTTCTAGACCATTGGATGATAGAGTTGTTAAGGTAATTTCTTATCATTATTGAGGTTTCAATCATAATTATAATCTCTTAATAGTATATTAAATTGTTTTAACTTAATATTATCTAAGATCCCAGTCGATTTGAACAAAGTGGAATAATGGGGATATGCCTTTGT